TGCCTCTTAGTTCTGGGACTAGTCTAGTGGCATACCTTTGGACTTTTTCCAGCTTCGTCTTGTGCTTGACAAGGTACGGGCTCCATGCGGGGGCCGCATACTCCAGGATTGGTCTTACATATGTGGTGTACAAGATTCTGAATGATTCCTTACACAGGTTCCTGAACGCTGTTCTGATGTTAGCCAGCCTCGCATATGCCGCAGACGTTATTCTTTTTATGTGGGCTTCAGGAGACAGGTTTGGTGAGATATCAACTCCTAGATCGTTCTCTCTGTTCGTTTCATTAAGTACTTCATCTCCTATTCTGTATCCTGTGTTTGGCCTCCTATTTCCACCACCTAGTTTCATTACTTTGCATTTACTCAGGTTGAACTTCAACAGCCATTGTTGGACCATTCACTCAGTCTGTCTAGGTCATCTTGCAGCCTCTACTATCGTCCTCAGTTTCAATCCTCCTCATAATTTTTGCATCATCAGCAAACATTGAGAGAAACGATTCTATACCCTCTGGAAGATCATTTACATATATCAGAAAACAGTATAGGTCCAAGGACTGACCCCTGCGGTACTCCACTCGTAACGTCTCGCCAATCTGAGACCTCACCCCTCACACTGACTCGTTGTCTCCTGTTGCTTAGGTACTCTGTATCCAACGGAGTACCTTCCCTTTCACTCCAGCCTGCATCTCCAGTTTCTTCACTAGCCTCTTGTGTGGCACTGTGTCAAAGGCTTTCTGACAATCCAAAAATATGCAGTCTGCCCACCCTTCTCTTTCTTGCCTTATTTTTGTTGCCTGGTCGTAGAATTCAAGTAACCCTGTGAGGCAGGACCTGCCATCCCTGAATCCATGTTGATGCCGTGTTACAAAGTTCTTTCGCTCCAGGTGCTCCACTAGCTTTCTTCGCACAATCTTCTCCATCATCTTGCATGGTATGCAGGTTAGGGACACTGGTCTGTAATTCAGTGCCTCCTGTCTATCCCCTTTCTTGTATATCGGGACTACGTTAGCTGCTTTCCAAATTTCTGGCAGTTCCCCTGTTGCCAGTGATTTGTTATACACCATGGAGAGTGGTAGGCACAGTTCTTCTGCTCCTTCTTTAGTATCCAAGGGAGATTCCATCTGGGCCTATAGCCTTTGTCACATCCAATTCTAGTAAAACACTTCCTTACTTCCCCGCTGGTAATCTCAAACTCTTCCAGTGGTTCCTGGTTAGCTATTCCCTCTCTTATCTCTGGGATTTCTTATCTCTGGGATTTTCTGTGTGTGTGTGTGTGTGTGTGTGTGTGTGTGTGTGTGTGTGTGTGTGTGTGTCCAGGTTTACCTCCAGTACAGTTATAACAATTATGAGTGAGAGAGTGGCAGTGGCCGAGTTGGTCCCTCACAACCCTCTCCTCCCTCACCTCCCTCACAACCCTCACCTCCCTCACAACCCTCACCTCCCTCACAACCCTCACCTCCCTCACAACCCTCACCTCCCTCACAACCCTCACCTCCCTCACAACCCTCACCTCCCTCACCTCCCTCACCTCCCTCACAACCCTCACCTCCCTCACAACCCTCACCTCCCTCACAACCCTCACCTCCCTCACAACCCTCACAACCCTCACCTCCCTCACAACCCTCACCTCCCTCATAACCCTCACCTCCCTCACAACCCTCACCTCCCTCACAACCCTCACCTCCCTCACAACCCTCACCTCCCTCACAACCCTCACCTCCCTCACAACCTCACCTCCCTCACAACCCTCACATCCCTCACTTCCCTCACAACCCTCACCTCCCTCACCTCCCTCACCTCCCTCACAACCCTCACCTCCCTCACAACCCTCACCTCCCTCACAACCCTCACCTCCCTCACAACCCTCACCTCCCTCACCTCCCTCACAACCCTCACCTCCCTCACAACCCTCACAACCCTCACCTCCATCACAACCCTCACCTCCCTCACAACCCTCACCTCCCTCACAACCCTCACCTCCCTCATAACCCTCACCTCCCTCACAACCCTCACCTCCCTCACAACCCTCACCTCCCTCACAACCCTCACCTCCCTCACAACCCTCACCTCCCTCACAACCCTCACCTCCCTCACCTCCCTCACAACCTTCACCTCCCTCACAACCTTCACCTCCCTCACAACCCTCACCTCCCTCACAACCCTCACCTCCCTCACAACCTTCACCTCCCTCACCTCCCTCACCTCCCTCACAACCTTCACCTCCCTCACAACCCTCACCTCCCTCACAACCCTCACCTCCCTCACAACCCTCACCTCCCTCACAACCCTCACCTCCCTCATAACCCTCACCTCCCCTCATAACCCTCACCTCCCTCACAACCCTCACCTCCATCACAACCCTCACCTCCCTCACAACCCTCACCTCCATAACCCTCACCTCCATCACAACCCTCACCTCCATCACAACCCTCACCTCCCTCACAACCCTCACCTCCCTCACAACCCTCACCTCCCTCACAACCCTCACCTCCCTCACAACCCTCACCTCCCTCACAACCCTCACCTCCCTCATAACCCTCACCTCCATCACAACCCTCACCTCCCTCACAACCCTCACCTCCCTCAAAACCCTCACCTCCCTCATAACCCTCACCTCCCTCACAACTCTCACCTCCCTCATACCCTCACCTCCCTCACAACCCTCACCTCCCTCACAACCCTCACCTCCCTCACAACCCTCACCTCCCTCACAACCTCACCTCCCTCACAACCTTCACCTCCCTCACCTCCCTCACAACCCTCACCTCCCTCACAACCCTCACCTCCCTCACAACCCTCACCTCCCTCACCTCCCTCACAACCTTCACCTCCCTCACCTCCCTCACAACCCTCACCTCCCTCACAACCCTCACCTCCCTCACAACCTTCACCTCCCTCACAACCTTCACCTCCCTCACAACCCTCACCTCCCTCACAACCCTCACAACCCTCACCTCCATCACAACCCTCACTTCCCTCACAACCCTCACTTCCCTCACAACCCTCACCTCCCTCACAACCTTCACCTCCCTCACAACCCTCACCTCCCTCACCTCCCTCACAACCTTCACCTCCCTCACAACCCTCACCTCCCTCACAACCTTCACCTCCCTCACAACCTTCACCTCCCTCACCTCCCTCACCTCCCTCACAACCTTCACCTCCCTCACCTCCCTCACCTCCCTCACAACCTTCACCTCCCTCACAACCCTCACCTCTCTCACAACCTTCACCTCCCTGACACCTTCACCTCCCTCACCTCCCTCACAACCTTCACCTCCCTCACAACCCTCACCTCCCTCACAACCCTCACCTCCCTCACAACCTTCACCTCCCTCACAACCTTCACCTCCCTCACAACCTTCACCTCCCTCACAACCCTCACCTCCCTCACAACCTTCACCTCCCTCACTACCCTCACCTCCCTCACAACCCTCACCTCCTCACAACCCTCACCTCCCTCACAACCCTCACCTCCCTCACAACCCTCACCTCCCTCACAACCCTCACCTCCCTCATAACCCTCACCTCCCTCATAACCCTCACCTCCCTCATAACCCTCACCTCCCTCATAACCCTCACCTCCCTCATAACCCTCACCTCCCTCATAACCCTCACCTCCCTCACAACCCTCACCTCCCTCACAACCCTCACCTCCCTCACAACCCACACCTCCCTCACAACCCTCACCCCTCCAACCCTCACCTCCCTCACCTCCCTCATAACCCTCACCTCCCTCACAACCCTCACCTCCCTCACAACCCTCACCTCCCTCACAACCTTCACCTCCCTCACAACCCTCACCTCCCTCACAACCCTCACCTCCCTCACAACCCTCACCTCCCTCACCTCCCTCACAACCCTCACCTCCCTCACAACCCTCACCTCCCTCACAACCCTCACCTCCCTCACAACCCTCACCTCCCTCACAACCCTCACCTCCCTCACAACCCTCACCTCCCTCATAACCCTCACCTCCCTCATAACCCTCACCTCCCTCATAACCCTCACGGCCGTATGGCCGAATATGGACGTAATTTGAAAATGAAAAAAAATATAAAATAAATTTGGGATTTTTTTTTCCAGCAACGGTAAGTTAAGGTCCTCTGGTAGGTTAGGGGGGCAGGAAGTTCTCATAAAGTTTCAAAACGATATGAAAAAAGTTAATGGAAAGTTTCCTTTTCTAAGCTGGCCGAGTAAGCCGGACGACTCAAACAGAAAACGGAACAGTACGTCACTTTTGTGAGTCGATTTCATTTCAATTTACGTCCAAATTTGGCCATAGTGCGCATACGGGCCTAAAGTGACGTTATTTTTAAGAGGACGGGTTGGACCATCACGGAGGGAGAGCAGGTGGGTTGTTACAGGAAGGTGAGAGCTGGTTGGGCCGTGAGGACGCTGGTGGTGTCTAGGGACACTCACGCCTCCTCCCCCGCTGAGAGAGGACTCACCAAGTGTTCCCCTGGCCACCTACGAAACCTCTGCATCTTCCCTCCGTCATGACGACTTAGTTTATATTCATGAAGCAGTTTACGAGGTGCGAAGCGCTCCGAGGTCGACCATAAGAATAACAACGTTGGGTGCGAGGTCTGCAAGCTCGTAAACTGTTTAATACAGACAGACTTAGCCGCCATGATCAAGGAAAGATGTAAAGGTTTCGCGAGTGAATCTGTAAGCGTTTAACGAATCCCGGAGGAAGTTATGTGTGGCGAGGGGTTGTAGGAGCAGGTGGCGACACAGCACACACAGCCAGAGCTCAACCTCTGCGAGCACAACTAGGTGAGTACACAGACAACAATTCCAGCCTCTTGAGACAACTCAACTGGCCTCTCGTGCCCTGGAATTGATAGTACGGTTCTTAGACCAATGGAACGACCCGCTGCAAGTCAGCTGCTCATCTACAGGTTTGCTCAGCTTTCAGCGAGCGTAGACTCGTTAATGTTGTCACACATAGAGACACAGCTGTATATATTACCACATTGTGTATATTTAGGCGAAGCTTATACTAGGCTACGTATTGAGGGCGTGTTGGCAGTTGGCCAGTTATATACCGGGGATTTGATCGTTGAGTTAACGAGCATTTGACCTTTCATGACGACCACTGGCAGCTGTGGTAGACTGGCAGCTGTGGTAGACTGGCAGCTGTGGTAGACTGGCAGTTGTGGTAGACTGGCTGCTGTGGTAGACTGGCAGCTGTGGTAGACTGGCAGCTGTGGTAGACTGGCAGCTGTGGTAGACTGGCAGCTGTGGTAGACTGGCTGCTGTGGTAGACTGGCTGCTGTGGTAGACTGGCTGCTGTGGTAGACTGGCAGCTGTGGTAGACTGGCAGCTGTGGTAGACTGGCAGCTGTGGTAGACTGGCAGCTGTGGTAGACTGGCAGCTGTGGTAGACTGGCAGTTGTGGTAGACTGGCAGCTGTGGTAGACTGGCAGCTGTGGTAGACTGGCTGCTGTGATAGACTGGCAGCTGTGGTAGACTGGCTGCTGTGGTAGACTGGCAGGTGTGGTAGACTGGCAGGTGTGGTAGACTGGCAGGTGTGGTAGACTGGCAGGTGTGGTAGACTGGCAGCTGTGGTAGACTGGCTGCTGTGGTAGACTGGCAGCTGTGGTAGACTGGCAGCTGTGGTAGACTGGCAGTTATGGTAGACTGGCAGCTGTGGTAGACTGGCTGCTGTGATAGACTGGCTGCTGTGGTAGACTGGCAGCTGTGGTAGACTGGCAGCTGTGGTAGACTGGCAGCTGTGGTAGACTGGCAGTTATGGTAGACTGGCAGCTGTGGTAGACTGGCAGCTGTGGTAGACTGGCTGCTGTGATAGACTGGCTGCTGTGGTAGACTGGCAGCTGTGGCAGACTGGCAGCTGTGGTAGACTGGCAGGTGTGGTAGACTGGCAGGTGTGGTAGACTGGCAGGTGTGGTAGACTGGCAGGTGTGGTAGACTGGCAGTTGTGGTAGACTGGCTGCTGTGGTAGACTGGCAGCTGTGGTAGACTGGCAGCTGTGGTAGACTGGCAGCTGTGGTAGACTGGCTGCTGTGGTAGACTGGCTGCTGTGGTAGACTGGCAGCTGTGGTAGACTGGCAGCTGTGGTAGACTGGCTGCTGTGGTAGACTGGCTGCTGTGGTAGACTGGCAGCTGTGGTAGACAGGCTGCTGTGGTAGACTGGCTGCTGTGGTAGACTGGCAGCTGTGGTAGACTGGCTGCTGTGGTAGACTGGCTGCTGTGGTAGACTGGCAGCTGTGGTAGACTGGCAGCTGTGGTAGATAGCCCCGCTGGACGAAGCGTGAAGAAGTACATATGGGACAGAGGACGTGAGTTCGGGAACAGTTGGAGTATAATCACTGGTCACGTAGTCATCACGAATACCGGGACGTAGTCGTCACGTGAGGCCCGGTCTCTCATGGCCGACAATAGGTGTTAATGGCGTCACTTTACTGGGTAAGGTTACCACGACATCCCAGGTAGTGTGATCACACCTTAACAGCAGTTAGTGCCGACAAGACGGTTAATATTAAACACATTTAATTTGATTGTTGATTGAGAGTGAGATCCTTACCCCGTGAGACTGGCGCAGGTGCTCTGCGCGGGAACTGGTGGCCGAGCCGACAGCACGCTGGTCACGTGATCCTGGGTTCGATCCCGGGCGCCGGCGAGAAACGATGGGCAGAGTTCACCCTATGCCCCTGTTACCTAGCAGTAAATAGGTACCTGGGAGTTAGTCAGCTGTCACGGGCTCCATCCTGGTGTGTGTGTGTGGTGTGGGGGAAAAATAGTAGTAGTAGAAACAGTTTATTGACATGCAGTTAAGAGGCGGACAGAAAGAGCAAAGCTCAACCCCCGCAAGCACAACTAGGTGAATACAAGTTTCACTGTCCGGTCCACTGTAAAACTAGATACAGAATGTATGACGCAGAGGTACTTCCCAGAGTGTCTTCCCAGAGTGTCTTCCCAGAGGGTCTTCCCAGAGGGTCTTCCCAGAGGGTCTTCCCAGCGTGACAGGGTGGCAGGGCAGCGTAACACAGGAGTAACACTAAGGACATGAGAGGTGCTCCCGCCTGGGTCTCCTGAACCACACAACGGAGTCTCCCTCTCTATCCTCCCCCGTCCCGTTTTCTTCGGCGCGATGCGGTTAAAATTTATTCTATTATTAGATATGAGTAGATTTTGGACTTATATTATTTATAATTCCCAGCTACGGTACAAAGACGTATGCAAGAGGGACCTGAAAGCCATGGACGTTGATCTTGGTACGTGGGAAACACTGGCCGCAGACCGTTCAGCCTGGTGTTACGGGGGGGGGGGGGGCAATAGGTCTCTTTTTTTCCATTATTCCACCTCCTAGTTAACTATTCCAGTGCTGCCCCTAGAGTCCCTCCTGCAGCCTCTCCAATTCAACACCTTGTGACCCAGGTATTTGATTACCTAGATGTCACGAACACAAGGCATTGTAACGTGATCAGCTCCTCGCGACTCTAGGGAACTCTAGAACAGTTCACTGCCATGAACGTATAAGAGAACCGAAAGGAAAGAGAGGAATAATGAAGTAATTAGTGAGGGTTTGGGGTGAGGGAGGAGGGAGGAGTGGGTGGGGAGGAGTAAGGAGGGTCGTCAGGTGAAAGGGACAGGGGGGAAGAGAGGCGGAGGGAGAGGAGAGGGAGTAGGAAGTGAGTAGGAGAGGAAGTGGTAGAGGTAGAAGGATAGATAAGTAGAAGTAGAAAGTAGACTGCCACTATCCATTCTAGTCCATTACATACAAAACAAGGAATGGAACTTGTCATATTCACAAAATTCTTAAAGATGCATAAAAAGGTCATTATAGCATGTTTTATCTGTATCATGTACCTATGTAAGCTTCGTTAAGTCTATAACTCAAGAGCACTCTACACTCTAGTTGGCATATTATATAAGAAATTCCAAGAACTCGGGAATACAATTAAAATCAAATTAAAAGTAAGTGAATCAAGTATTTACTTAGCATGATAAATATTAGAAGTCAAGCCATCGAACTGAAGGTTCAATATGTCCAGATAAACAATGTGAACCGCCACACACAACTTTGAGTCACTACAGCTGTCTGCACCTAGAGATCACACAACTTCTTAGTACACGAAATAAGTCACCTTTCATGTTCAACTCACCAAGTGTCTGCCTATAGCTGGATAGAGAGGAGGGGAGGGTCTGCAGTTGACAGTCGCTCCCGTCCGGCTGACAGCCTGCCTGGCTATACTGTCCTCTGCTCTGCTGGGCTGCTCTCCTATTCTCTGGAGTGTACAGTACCCTGGGTATATATTGGGGACCAAGTAGCTAACTCCGCCCACAAGTAGACAGCCCCAGGCACTCTACCAAGCCACACCTTAAACTGGCGGCATGTTTGAAGGACCCACCCGGATACCCGGCTACAATTATGAGCTTAGCAGAAACCAGGTCAATTTCACACGACCTGACATTGATCACTTGGTGGTCATTAACACTCTAGAGGTGTGACTATGTTAATTACTAGGGGCCGCCAACCTGGCGCCTCTCAACCTTGTCTGTGACTCCTGAACTATGTATAGCTTAAATACAAAACACCTTTACGGTGTTACACTGGGGGCAGTCTGTTCAAAGAGGTCTCTCCAAGTTCGAGGAGTCACTTGCCAAGAAATAGGAGGCAAAGAGCCAGAGAAGGAAAGCCGGTAGCCAGGAAGACAGACCAGAATCGGACTTCGTTTGTGCTCGGTGTGGGATGGACTGCCACTCTGGGATTGGCCTCATCAGTCACACCAGACGCTGCACCAGGAATGACAACCAGGGCGCAACTCCATAGTCTCCCGAGACTGGAGGATGCCTACTACTATTACTATTTATTATTGGAATTACATAGATTTCACCAAGTGTAACTGAGCCCCGGGACTGTAAAGTTGAAGATATAACAGAGACGTCAATACCCTCAGTATTATGTATTAATTGCGACGTTATATCGCGTTTTCTCCCCCGAAGATGGAGAAAGTAATCACAATGGTTCTTGTTCCAGTATATTTAGTTTGATTACATTTTCTACATCAACAGAAAATAAATTTTCTTAGTGTAGGCTTAATTGTATAAAATTTATATAAAATACTGAATATGGGATATTTTCCCACATGTGCCCATTATGTATGAAGATTTGCTGACTCCTCATTACTCAGAGGACACAGTAATACTTCGGAGCGTTTAATGTTACTATATACAACACCGGGAATGTTGGTGTTGGTGTTTGAGAGCGTCAAAATACCTGTGCGTCAAGTGTGAGGACAGGTTGAGGGTTGACTGGTAGTGAGGAAGTACTTAGCCAGAGGACTAACTGTTCTGCGGTCTATTCATGCCCATGCCACCTCTTGGGCGGCTTAATCTTCATCAATCATCGAACAATCGACTAACTGTCATGTGCGAGATAACGTCACCACAAGCCCCCTCCCCCCTCCCCCCCCCCCCGAGGCGGCATCCATCCATCTCATTGTAATAATTTCAGCCCAAAATTCACCAAACTTCTTACTGAAAAAGTTATCAGCCAATTTTAATATTGTAATCTTACCTTTATTTTTCTCAGTTCTCTTAATTGATACTGATATTATTCCATCGAGTTACGTGTGAGTGTGGAACGCCAGCCATCCCTGGGGCAGCCAGCCATCTCTGGGGCAGTCAGCCATGTCTGGGGCAGCCAGCCATCTCTGGGACACTCAGCCATCTCTGGGGCAGCCAGCCATCTCTGGGGCAGCCAGCCATCTCTGGGACTACCAGCCATCTCTGGGGAACTCAGCCATCTCTGGGGCAGCCAGCTATCTCTAGGGCAGTTAGCCATCTCTGGGGCAGCCAGCCATCTCTGGGGCAGCCAGACATTCCTGGGGCAGCCAGCCATCTCTGGGCAGCCAGCCATCTCTGCGGCAGTCAGCCATATCTGGGGCAGTCAGCCATCTCTGGGGCAGCCAGCCATCTCTGGGGCAGCCAGACATTCCTGGGGCAGCCAGCCATCTCTGGGCAGCCAGCCATCTCTGCGGCAGTCAGCCATATCTGGAGCAGCTAGCAATTTCTGGGGCAGTCAACCATCTCTGGGGCAGCTAGCCATTTCTGGGGCAGCCAGCCATCTCTGGGGCAGTCAGCCATCTCTGGGGCAGCCAACTATCTCTGGGGCAGCCAACTATCTCTAGGGCAGCTAGCCATCTCTGGGGTAGTCAACCATCTCTGGGGCAGTCAACCATCTCTGGAGCAGTCAACCATCTCTGGGGCAGCCAGCTATCTCTGGGGCAGTCAGCAATCTCTGGGGCAGTCAGCCATCTCTGGGGCAGCCAGCCATCTCTGGGGCAGTCAGCCATCTCTGGGGCAGCCAACTATCTCTAGGGCAGTTACCCATCTATGGGGCAGTCAGCCATCTCTGGGGCAGTCAACCATCTCTGGGGCAGCCAACTATCTCTAGGGCAGCTAGCCATCTCTGGGGTAGTCAACCATCTCTGGGGCAGCCAGCCATCTCTGGGGCAGTCAACCATCTCTGGGGCAGCAAGCCATCTCTGGGGCAGTCAGCTATCTCTGGGGCAGCCAGCCATCTCTGGGGCAGCCAGCCATCTCTGGGGCAGCCAGCCATCTCTGGGGCAGCCAGCCATCTCTGGGGCAGCCAGCCATCTCTGGGGCAGCCAGCCATCTCTGGGGCAGTCAGCCTTCTCTGGGGCAGTCAGCCATCTCTGGGGCAGTCAGCCATCTCTGGGGCAGTCAGCCATCTCTGGGGCAGTCAGCATCTCTGGGGCAGCCAGCCATTCCTGGGGCAGTCAGCCATCTCTGGGGCAGTCAACCATCTCTGGGGCAGTCAGCCATCTCTGGGGCAGCCAGCCATTCCTGGGGCAGCCAGCCATCTCTGGGGGCAGCCAGCCATCCCTGGGGCAGCCAGCCATCTCTGGGGGCAGCCAGCCATTCCTGGGGCAGCCAGCCATCTCTGGGCTGCCAGCCATTTCTGGGGCAGTCAGCCATTTCTGGGGCAGTCAGCCATTTCTGGGGCAGTCAGCCATCTCTGGGACAGTCAGCCATCTCTGGGGCAGCCAGCCATCTCTGGGGCAGTCAGCCATTCCTGGGGCAGTCAGCCATCTCTGGGGCAGTTAACCATCTCTGGGGCAGCCAACTATCTCTAGGGCAGCTAGCCATCTCTGGGGCAGTCAACCATCTCTGGGGCAGCCAGCCATCTCTGGGGCAGTCAACCATCTCTGGGGCAGCCAGCCATCTCTGGGGCAGCCAACCATCTCTGGGGCAGCCAGCCATCTCTGGGGCAGCCAGCCATCCCTGGGACAGCCAGC